ATGACACCTGGTGTGTTATCATTTTCAACAAAAGTGGAATTTTTGTATCAATTTCCAACGATTGTCGGCCAACCATTGTTGGAAAAAAACCCTGACTTTTTTTCAAATACTGCCCCCAATTTAACAAATTTAGTTAGTCCATAGTTTGTTTGCAATCTGTTTTTAACACACCCGTGAACAGGTGCAAGCCAGCTAGTCTGGTTCCCCTGACCTGACAATTCCACAACGTCTATAAATTGCCCGTTTTGTCTGAAGTAGGGTCAGGGAACCAGATTACAAGAACAGCATTTTATTTCTTGGTTTGTCCAGCATCTATGAACGAAAACCCTTTAAACACGTCAGTGTAACACTATTTGCTATATTGTTATACTAACCGCCAAATCCATCCATTTCTGAAAATCACATCAAAAGCAAATGTTGTATATACTTTTAAACAAAAACTAGACAAACATGTTCACTTACACTTTGCACAAAGTGTACACCGACTAAACATACCGATCATTAGCCTCCAAAAAGTAACAATACGGGCACATGTACACGTACATGTGCATTAACAAAAATGTAGGATCAAACTATAAAAATCAGATGAATGTATTTTGTGCTGATTAATTTCTGTGACTTGACACAATTTTTAAAAAGGAATAAGAAAAGAGCACTAATTAAGACATTTCTGTAATATTAAAACAGCACACCCTGATTTCAATCATTTTTCCTATCAATGCCAGCGCTAATGCAGTTCACCGACATTACTTACAATGTCTGTACGTGCACTAGTTGGATATTTCAAAATTAAAGGCATGCTTTATGTTTGTTATCCCATTTTTTTTGGGACCGTTCGTTCAATAGCCCCTTTACCAACTTGAAGTCTAGTGTAATCTAATCTGGAAAAAAAGAAATGCACGGCATAAAAAGACGACCGGCGTGTCTCAATTTCGACAGAGAACCTGAATCAATATTGGTCCCACAGTTCCTGGATATAGACACGACCCAGCAATTCCCGGGAAAAAATGGACAAAACAAAACCAAATTGAAAAGAGAGAACGGAACAGAGAGAGACACGGCGACAAAATTTAATTTGCAAAGTCAGAGACACGCATCCCCTGGTCCGCAGTGGGCCAGAACAGCACGGTGTTAATGGACATGCCCAGAGAAAGGTTGATCGAATTAGCAGGATTACAGTTTGCTAACCTGCCGCTATGCTGGCCGATATCAAAGTGGGGACAATTGGATTTTCAATCGCATTTGCTGCCTATAAAAAATTCTGGAAATGTTGGCCTACATACCCTGTGCGGTTGTGCATGTTTGTACATGCCTACATGTACCGGTACAGTAGATATTAAATTGGATCACAGTGATTTTTTTTCGTTGTTGCCAGTGCAAACATAGACATTTTTCTTCAGTGGGAAAGTGATTTTGATTCAAGAACATTACAATGTACATCTTATCGCCAACTCGCCCACTTATCTTGTCTGCAGCGTCTGCTAGACAGGAAATGCCTCTTTGGACATTTACACCTGTACAAAGATAGCAATCATGTCAAAGCTTTTGAGAATATCCACCATGATGAAATCATACAAATTGTACACATACGCCAATTTTATCGCAACAACTTTGTCCTGCGGCAAAGTCACAGACGCATGTGTGTTGACAAAATAAGCGATATGTTGCACATTTTTTGTTGTCCTTCTTTTACAACCAATCAGTTCAGGCACAGGTTCCAGGTAAAATACGTATGCGGTTTTGTGTCACGCGATAAAATCACTGCGAATGTGAATTTTCAACAATCGCACGATAAGTCGCACGACTTTGTCACGTAACTGTAAACAAGCTCATTGATTCGTGATATAAACGTGCAACACTGTCGTGACAAAGTTAAAGGTAAATGCATTGTAGGCCTTGATTCTTCATTTTCTGTAATATCATGTACAGAAGCTTTGTTTTCAAGTGTGCTTACAAGTAGAGTGCCTACATGTACATGTACATGTACATGTACATGTACATGTCCACGTACACGTACATGCATGCTTCTTGCCTGTGGAAATATTTCAACTAAAGGCCAAGTTCGTGCAAGGACTAAAGTTGACCAATGGTTAACCATAGTTCGACTAACGCTTGCCCGAACTCTAGTCGACAGTGGTTGACTACGCTAGTCGACTATTTGGAACCAACCTACTGGGGCTGGTTCCATCGCTGGTAACCAATAGCCACGCGCATTCATAACGCTAGCAGACATGGCAGAGAGCCAGGATCCAGAAGTTTTGTGATGACATTTTGACCAGCATGACTAGAGACGTTCGCACGTTGCTATCAGTGCGCAGGCGTAAGGTACGTCACAAATCAACCACTAGTCGACTAATGGTCCTTGCCCGAACTTGGCCTAATATGACCCTACAGCAAAGGTCATCAGGACAATCACATGCTGGCTGGGCTCCGACTCTATACGATATCTGAGCACAGAGCTAGGGTCCTACCGATAGCTCTATGATCTGAACAAGATATTGAGGCAGAGCTATGACTTAACTTGTAAGTTTTGGCCATGACAATCCCTGATAATGACCTGCCCATGGCATCTTACAATGTACGGTATGCACATTGTACATTGTACGTATCCCCGACACAACTTCCATCATACACAAGTCATGAAGTCTCCCTTAACACATTCAGTATCATCTAGTGCAGCTCTATGCCCAATCCTCCCCTCCCTTCCCCACAAAGGTCCTTCCCTTTCCCCCTGGGTTTAGCCTGCATGTCTTCAGCCCTGGCTTTCAAATTTAGCCCCCTAAACCCCCCCCCCCCCCCCAAGGAACTAGAAGCTGTTAAATGCCAGCTTATAATGCCCTAAGAGACCGCTACAGTGGCAACACGCGCTGACTGCAAAAGGTCAAATTAGGCTGGTTAGCGGGTACCTGATTGATTCTGTTGCTGTTTGTACAGCAGGTTAGAATGTCAGGGTTTTTTTTTTCACAAGTCAATGTGAAAAACCGGGCTTTAAAACTGTCAGTTCAAGGCATGTTTTCAATTCTTAACAACAAAAGCCAGTTTGGAAAAGAGTTAGAGGCTGTCATACTTGATAGATGTTGTCGGTAAGTACAATGTCAATGAAAGTTGGACCTGGTTTTTTACATTTCTAGATCAGTTGATCAGCCATGCAACTGGAAGAAACACAAAACAGCATATGCCAAGATTTACGAGACTCTCTGCAGTGTATCTTCAATTCAAAACCCTCCTGCTGTTTGAACAGTCACAGGCAGTCAAAAAATCAATCACCGTCCCCAGGCTAGTCACCAACAGTCAGATCATAATTTCAAGCAAGCACTGTGACTCGTCAAATTCAGTCGACAGACAAAAACAGGCAAAGGGTAGGCACAGTCAAAGCATAGCTGTATCAAGGTACGCAAACAGTCGCAGCCAGTCAATCCTGCTTAATACATGTGGGCTGAGAGTTCTTACCTATTGAAAACAATCCCTTGATTTTGACTAAAAGGACAACTTTGCACAGACTGTATGTTTGCATCTAGGAGGGTTATGGCATATTTTTAAAATGTGAAATGAAAAAAAAAGAGAAAATCAGCTGACTCGAGGAAAAGTTGCATGCCTAAAGATTTATTTCTGTGACGGAGGCAAATTTACAAAAAGCATTCTGCAGGCATACATGTAAACTGGCCTTAAAATAATCACTTCTTTTGTAAACGTACATGCATACACGTGTACAATAAAGATACACAGACATGTCAAATGTGCGTGATGTGTATATTACGCACTGAATTTTAACACTCCTAAGTTGTACATAACTTTACATTGTACATGTACAATGTAGTATAACATACATACTGGTACATGTACTAAGCTACCCCTGGAATTTATTTGAATGAGCTTTCTCAAAAGTGCAGACACACACACGTACCCTACATGCCCACTTAACTGTGCCAGACTCAATACAGGTGCTGAACCCGCCAGCAATTTACAGCGGGACCGGGAGAATTTAATGGCCTGGAATGTCAGTGGGTTCTGCCCCTGCATAAATTCATCAGGCAGTACCCGCTACACCTGGAGTTTTATAGCACGCGTGTGTTAAAGATGTACTGCAAATTTAGAAAAAATGTCCTAAATGCGTACCGGTTCATCAATACATGTCAACTTTTATGGACTTTCAATAGATGCATTTCATGTGAACGTCAGTCTCTTTAAGCAAATTTGGATCACTTATATTTACATGTACCGTACGTGTAAGTCGTCTTTTCCTTTAAAAGAAAACAGCCTCAAAATTTTATGGAAGTGAAAGGGGAGTCAGGTTGGCCTAGCGGTACTTTCCTCGCCTTCCACCGCTGTGACCCAGGTTCGAATCCTGCCTGGGCCAACATGTGGATTGGGTTTTAAGTCCCTACCTGATTCTGTGGGTATTATTCCACAATCACTCTTATTTGTGTAAATAAACAGAAACATCAAGTGTTGAGGAATTGTTTAGCCGATGTGCGTGCGATGTTCTGCCCCGTTTTCTCACGGTCGTTGAAATGACAATACCGGTTAGTTCGACTTGAGTCATTCGCACTTCAACTTCAGTGCCCAGGCAGCTAGATACGTCACAAACCAACCACTACCGGTAGTTAACCATTACGAACTTGCCATTTGATACCAAGTCGTCTTTCTGGTTGAAACCAAGACTAGAAATAAAATTCCACAAATACACACAGACTCTATTTCAAAAACAAGCTCGATCAGATCTCGGAAGCTGTTCATGCAGAAGTCACGTGATTGTGCCATGTAATTTCTGGAAGTATAGTGTTTTAAGTAAAAAATGTTTTTGACCCCAGTGACCCCAAGATGACCTTTGACCCCAGCTTTGTCATGTGACATGTTGGGGCAGGACTACTGACACTTTTGTTGCTACAACATGTAGCAATATAGACAATGTCAGCGTTTGTCACTAACTAACCGACTAACGGAGAGATATGATGATTTGTTGAGCTGCTATCCCGCAGCTAACAAGTACATGTACCCACCGTTCTGCGTTGGGAAGGCTTCGGCGGACAGCACCCCGGTGCTCTTGTCCACCAGGGGAATGTCCACCTCCCCCTTGATGGAGTCGCCCACGGTGAAGCAGACCTGGTAGCGATGGCTGCACTGCAGGAAGCCCACGTTGACGTCGATGCTGGCGTTGTTCTCTCGCGAGACGTGGATCTCCGGGTCGTGGACGTCCTCGGGGAAGTGGACACGGGAGCTGCCCCTCGGCCGCGTGATGCGGGGCTTATCTGGAGAAAGGGGGACAAAATGAAATAATGTAATTGAAGGATACTACATTAAAGTTGTTCTCCTCGTACTATTTCCAATCACCCTTATAAGAATAAATTTTGTTTTAAAATTGCTATTTTTTCTTGCAATTAGTTGATACTTGTAGTTATTCACTTCAGGCGTATCATTGGTTTATTATACGCAAAAAACAAGCTCATTTTCAGATTGTTGAAAATGTCCAAAATAGAAAAAAACAGTAGCTTTTTTCGGTTTACTGTAAGTAAAACATACAAATTGAATGTCCATTAGGAGAAACACAACGAAACTGTTCACAAATCCCTAAGACAGTTTACCCATTCCTATTGGTCGAGAGCCCATCACGTGGCCGGTCTTAAACGGATGATAAAAACATGGCTGGCTGGTTTTAGACACTTTTCCATTGTCACATGAAATTTGGACTATGAAATCCGGTGCCTTTTACCGTTTTATTGGTTGAACGTTCACAATCCTCACTTAGGCATGCGCAATACTACCTGTACCAGTGAGTCAGTTTTGAATAGTCCTAAATTCACAATACACTGGCACAGCTGCATTCTGTGCCACATGACGCAGTACGGGTGATGTGATCGCCAATCTCCATACGGTATACAGGAGTTGTTTACAACTTTTCGCGAGATAGACATTCATTAATATAGCGAGAATGGTGTCTCAAAAAACATGAAGTAAAAGCGTTCAACAAAATCGTTGGAAATTTATAAGTTTTGACTTGTTTTGACGTTTGGACCGAAACGTTCTGAATTTTTTACCGAAAAGGTATTGATGAATGGGAATAAATGTGTGCCTGGCCTGTAATAAACAGTATGTTTAAGACCGGTTGGAGTCTGGATGCTGATATTACCTTTGCCATATACAGGAGTTGTTAACAACTCTTCGTGAAATGGACATTCATTAATATAGCGAGAATGGTGTCTCAAAAAACATGAAGTAAAAGCGTTCAACAAAATCATTGGAAATGTATAAGTTTTGACTTGTTTTGACGTTTGGACCGAAACGTTCTGAATTTTTTACCGAAAAGGTATTGATGAATGGGAATAAATGTGTGCCTGGCCTGTAATAAACAGTATGTTTAAGACCGGTTGGAGTCTGGATGCTGATATTACCTTTGCCATATACAGGAGTTGTTAACAACTCTTCGCGAAATGGACATTCATTAATATAGCGAGAATGGTGTTTGAAAAACGTGAAGTAAAAGCGTTCAACACAAAATTGTTGGAAATTTATAATTTTTGACTTGTTTTGACTTTTGGACCAAAACGTTTTGAATTATTTTACCGAAAAGGTATTTATGAATGGGAATAAATGTAAGCCTGGCCTGTATTAAACAGTATGTTAAAGACCGGTTGGAGTCTGGATGCTGAAAATTACCATCAGCTTTTGCTCGGATAATGATCGGCATCCAGACTCCAACCGGTCTAGTGTTTAAAATCGGCCAAGCACACATTTATTCCCTTATTTATTAACCCACTAGTCCAATGCCCCAAAGTGCTGTCAATACATGTAAATGCCCTTTACCACCCCAAACTGCCCTGCATTAACTAGATTTTTTCATCAAGGAGTAAATACAAATGTAATACAATGTAATACATTGTAATACAAGCACTAATGGATTAGTATCAGTCTTGCCTGACCAATTTTCACTGATAGAAGCTGCAACCAAGGTATGGTCCAATATGAAATTGATACAGGCTGGGATTTGACATGACTCGACTGCAAAGTCTACCAAAATTCTTTGTCCATTTTGATATTAATAAATTACGTGTCAACTGTTTAAACGGTTGATATCGCAATCAATACTCTCTCGGAGGTCATTATTTAGTCTTGCCTTTATTGCGAACCTCGAGTGCAGATGTTGTCTTTCCCTTCACAAAGTCATCAAGCACGATAGTGCAAGGCCAGACTTTATTGATTTTTTATTCTTTCTGGTTTTTTGTTCGTTTCTCCATCGTGCGCTCGGTATTCGTCCATCCCGCAATTGGGCCAACACAATATATTTAGCAGACAGTGTTAGTGTATTAAATGAAAATACACTTACACATTTAGCAAATTGGTCGACTAGCCATATGGTGGCACACAATTGAGAATTCAGGTGTGTTAAAAATGTATACAATTCAACGCAATATGGAGCCCAGCAGAAACATAATTTTGGATATTAACATGTATCGAAGGTGGCATGTGCATGTACAGATACATGTACATGTACACATTTCAGTGCAAGTACGGAGACGCATAGTCCAAAACCCGGGCCTCATATTTCACAAAGCTACCTGAGCTAGCCCTCCTGCTATCTGAACAGTCACAGACAGTCACAAAATCAATCGTCTTCCCTGCAATGCCTTTTACACAGGCTAGTCAACAACAGTAAGATCATATTTGAAGCAAGCAGTGTGACTAGTCATATTCAGTCAACCTACAAAAGCAGACAAGTGGGAGGCATGCACAGCTGGCTTATCAATCACCAGCAGTCAAAGCATACCGGTAGCTGTATCAATATAAACAGTCACAGTCAGTCAATCCTGCTTTATGTAGGCTGGGAACTCTTAACTGTTGAAAACTGTCACTTGATTGATTTTGACTGAAAAGACAACTTGGCACCAAATGTATGTTTGCATAGGAGGGTTAAGCAAATACATGTTGCTTCAGTATCTAGAACTAAGCTTAGCAACTCCACAGAAAAGGCTCCATAATTGTTTTTTGAAGAATATACTGCACAACGTAATTACAAAGCACATAGCAAGTCCTCCATCTTCTCAAGCCTAATACACACTTAATGAATTGGATTTCCTCTGTTTGGCTGAGCATCTCGTAAATTCCATGTATCCCTTACGCTGTAAAGGCTGGTTCATGCTCGGCCCGAAAGTAAACACGAAGGCAAGTTTTGCGTCACGAAACATTCCCTGCAAAATTTGCTTAAGTTGAAAATGTGTTCAACTTTTGCACATTCGCCACGACGTCACAAGTTTGTGTTTGCTTTTGCGCTAAGTATAAATAAATACCTGAATAATAAATCATTGCAAAATAAGACAGACCCATTACATTACCTTTATGGCGAAGCATACTGCAGTAATACTGAGCACTCTCACACAGGCATGCAAATAGGAATTTAGGGGGGAAAACGAGGAAATTCCAAACCCCACAAGACTTTGTACAGTATTTTTCAATTTGTAATAGCATTCATGAGAAGTAAAAAAAACCCAGGAAATCAGCGGATCCGAGGACAGGTTTCTAGCCTGTTCACAACAGGAGACATGGGGGAGCCATGGGGAGGGTCTGGTTGCACAAGTACCATGCGACTCAACCAATTTCCAAATGATTAGGACTAGTCAGACAGAAAATTTTTCAATTACAACTGAGACGTCACGCACATTGCACAGCATGTAACAGTACTCTGAATTTATAACCCACGCTTATTTACCCATCACTGAATTTGATTCATCAACCTAAAAAGATCTATTTAAGCATGATTACATTGAACTTTTTGTGACTGATTTTTTAGTGGTGGGAGGGGGATCAGAAGTTATATGGTACATGTACATGTAGTTTGCGCTTTATTAAGCATTAGGCCTAATACTAGGGTCAAGGTCTTGTGATTTTTGAAAGTACGGTACATGTTGTTTACACACAATGCCTTATTGGAGAGTTTTTGTTACTGGCCACTAGAAGTATCAGCACCACCCCCATACGAAAATTTCATAACTTAAATCAAACAAATAAATATTTTTAAAACTTGACAAAATATGTATAATAGCTCACCTTATTTTTTATATCAGGTTTCCAGTGGTCTAAAATTAAATCAGCGTACCGGTATTAGGATATATGCTGATTTTATTTTAGTGCCGTATTGTATGCTTTTGGAAAAAGTGACCGCAGCCTCGACTCCAGGGGCGCGTGCTCGTTCCTTACACTAACCCCTGGCTGTGATGATGACGTAAATGACACTGAATGGCTATTCACAGCGTACTGCGCGGGCATTTCGAAGATTGCACGCCGGGCGCACCCATAATGCGCTCGCGTGCTTAGCTTTGCACGTAACGTCACTTACGGAAAAAAAAAATTATGATTCAAAAGTCGCGAAGCCTGTACGATATAGATTATGTCAGCCGCGTTTTTCGCTAAAAAAACCCCTGTATCTGTGGTTGTAAAGGCACGAAAGGGGTACATACATTTAATACAAATCTTTGCTAATTAACACAACGTCCAAACGTTGTGTTTGAAGGGATTGATTCTTCAAAATCACAACTTTTAACATTTTAAAGATGGCATCAGCACGTAAAACGGATAAACTGCAGCCCTAATTATAATGTACCGTATTTTGGTATATTTAAATTACACAATTCCAGGGGTTACGATCGCGCAAGGCATGATGGGAAACAACATGGTGCTGCAAGATCGTACCCACGGGGCACGAGGTTGAAGTGACCGTGATGAGTATATGTTGTAGATCCAGGCATGTTAACACATATTGCTGCATGGTTCCCGCTCAATCAAGAATGGAGAAACTCTAGTTGGTAACCAGTGAACAGAGCATAGCGGTCACATTCAATGTTCTGTCAACAAATATGGCAGCTTTTAAGTGGCGAGAGATTTGCTTTGGTTAGTGAAGAAGAATTCAGAGAAATTTTGAGAAATTAAAAACGCCGAAAAACCCTTGAAAGCAACAAATATGACAGTTAATATTCTGTGAGTGTATCTGGCCAAGAAAATTTACCAGTGATGGATTTTGAGACAGTGGAATTTTGTTGGAGTTTTAAGTAATTAACCTTCATGTAGGAATGAGGAAAGCAGTCGGCGATTATCACAATACAGGGTCATGCTATTTATTTGTTTCGGATCACGTCAGCTAATTGATATTGTAAATGAATATAGTAATAATTTCAAATGACTTTTTTTCAAGGGATACAGAAAAACATTGCACTCGCTACAACATTATTTTCGAATTGTGCAATATTGTGTTAGCTCCTGA